AAGAGAGAGATTTCAATCTTGTATTCTCCGTTTTGACAAAGTTTGTGAGATGGCAGACATCGTAAAGAGAGGTAGCGTTCAGCTCGTTAAACGCGGAAGTATCCAAATAAAACAGGCTGCTAAGGAGGTTCGAGGTTCGTTTTTTCTTTCTTTCTTTCTTTCTTTCATTAAAATTAATTAAATATGGATTTTTTTTTAATTTATATGTGCTGTAATAGAAACGTAAATTGAATCAATGTATTCACATAGCAATTTGTGAAGTCAATGTGTTAGCAGCCAATCAAATATAAATTATGATTAGTTAGTGAAGACATTTTCACATCTAATTTTGACACTAGGATTTATCTGTTTGATCAAATGTATGCATTTATCAAGAATATATAACATTTTTTAAATTTAGTATTACGCTTTAACCTTCTAATGCAATTTTATTGTATATAGAAAAAATGTTAAAGATTTTCATCTTCTATCTTTCTCTCTTAGTTCTTGGTTTGTTTTTTTAAGATAAAGAAGATATTCGACAAACATATGTCACGAGATAGTCGAGCTCGGGATCGCAAAATTAACGTGTGTCGTGAATACCCCGTTTTGTAACTTGCGGTTTTTTTACAATTTCTTGTTCATTTCGTTTGTTATGAAAGTTTCTTTAAATAGAAAGTAATAATAAACCTTTATAAGAAAATATTGGAAAAAAAAAGAATTTCTAATCGAAAAATAAAAGCTAGAAGAAAAGATAACAAATCCTAGAAAAACTACATAAAAATATAGGAATAGAATAAACAAAAAGAAAAATATGGAAGAGACATTGAAATGTTCGAAAATGAAAAAAATGTTGTCTTCCCTTTTAGCTGCTGTTAGAGCACGACATATCGTAGCTGCATTGGTTGCAGTAGGATTTGCATTGTGTGGTGCAGTCGAAGTAAGTTCATCCGTTGCTTTGCTAGCTAATCAGGAAGACAACCATGCCATCATCGACACGTCCTGGCATTGTGACATGCTTGTCAATATCAGCAGTAGAAATCGTACGGAAGACTTCGAAGTTATCCTCTTGGAGGTATAATCATTCTAATAAAATCATCTGAAATTAATTTTTAAGTATTATCAATCGTTACATAAGAATTTTCACAATTTTATATTTAAATGTAAATGATTTAAAGGAAATTGTTCATTCGCAAAAGCTTATCGATGATTTGTATTTTGTAAAATATGTTAAGGTGAAACTGAATATAATTATTATATTAATTTATGTTAAGTTACCACCGGAAGAAAGAACAGAATCCATAATGCGAGAGGCTTTTCTATGGGGTCAAGTAGCAGGTCCAATATTAGGGGGTTGTTTGGTATGGGGTAGATCAGGTCCTTCGATGGTATTTTCTCGAGCAGTGCTTAGTGCTTGTTTGGCATCTTTGTTGGTACCAGCAGCTTGGAGAGGACCATCACACGTTGCATTACGTCTTTTTCAAGGACTTTGTACTGTAAATGAAACAAATATATAAATAATTTCTTAATAATAATAATTAAAAGAATTGTTTTAATTAATTCATTAAATTATTATTTTATTTAGGGTGCAACCATGCCAGCTGCTCACATGCTTGCGATGACCTGGTTCAAAAGTAACACTCGAAGTTCATATTTCAGTTGTTATGCTGGTAATTAATTAACATACTAATCATTTAATCAATCAAACAATAATCAAATAAAGAAATAAACTTATTCATTTATTTTCTCAGCTGTCAGCGTTGGATATTGTTTAACTGGTTGGTTAGGAACAGCAGTGGTTCGAACATTCGGACGAGATTCCCTTTGCTATGGTTTGGTACTTCTAGCTCTTTCCTGGTACTTTGCTTTTGGTCGATTCGTCAAAGACACTCCAAAATCTTATCAACATGATACAAATGTAAGAATCAAATTTCAAATCGTCAAAGTCTAAATTAGCAAAGTGTTTACAATGTTTTTAGGCTGCTGTGATTCCGTGGGGAAAATTATTACGATCTGTACCTGTTTGGGCATCAGCTGTTGCTACTATGGGGAATCAATGGGGTGATGCTACTCTGGCGCTTGGAATGACGAAATATTTAAAACTCATTTATGGATTTTCGACAGCTAACGTGAGCTTGTTCTGCATGATTTGTATTTAACAAATACTTGAAAGTACTTAAATGATTGATCATAATATTACAACACTTTTTAGGATTCTGTGTTGACTACTTTACCTCACATTGGACACTTCATGGCTGCATTAACATGTGGTCTTTTAGTAGATCATGTTCGAGAGTCAAGAATCGTTTCAACAACTACTGCAAGAAAATTGGTCGTCTATACAGGTACGTTCACAATTTACTTAACATCTCGATGATAAAAAGTTAAAGTAACATGACATAATGTTTTGATTACTCATTATTTTTTAACAACTCGTCTATAATCATAAAATTGTTTATCTTTCGCTATCTTCTCAACATCGTTATCTTTAATCACTCTACGTATTTCAACAATAGTTTTGTACACATATATATATTAATTTATTTTCTCAGCACACTTCATACCAGCGGCGTTGCTATTCGTAGCAGGATACGCGGGTTGTCAAGCATTGGGTGCAGCCTGGTTAGGTATTGCAGCACTTTTGGTGTCCGGGACAGCACCAGCTGGTGCTCTTGCTGCCATTGCTGATTTGGCACCAGCCGAATCCCCAGCTTGTGCTGCTGCAGCATGTGCTCTTTGTTCGACTTTAGGTGCAGCAGGTTTACTGGCTGCTAATTATTTTGTCACCCAAGCTCTTCATGGTTCGGTAAGTTCAATTAATCCAATTGATATACGCAAATGTAAATGTTCAAATTAACTAATTAACAAGTCTAACAAGCTAATTCTGCTAATGCGAATTAACAAATTTCAGATCGCCGGATCCTGGCGACTCGTTTTTGGCGTAGCTTCAGTAGTTTTACTTTCAACAGCAGCTGTATTCTTAGCATTAGGTAAAGGCGTACCACAACCATGGATACCATCAGTAGCTCGTCCACGTAGTCACGATGTTATTTATGAACAAGATCCTCTCGAATTAGATTACGAAGATGTCGGTGTACAAACCGAACCCTTCAGTCATTATTCTTACGACGATGACATCGAAAGTCTTAAAAACGTACCGCGCAGTTCCTCCATTCATTCGAAAATCTCTGTTGCGTCTATTAATCAAGTATCATAAAAATGTTCTCACGAGAACAATATCTCGTGATTTCACATTGCTCATATGTATTATTTTTACCGTAAGTTCGAGAATTGTACATATTATACAACAATGAACTAATTAAGTACCTAAATGAAATCTTGTTAGTACACTCACTATGATTTTTATTATTATTACTATTGTTATTATTATTATTATTCCTATTTCGTATAAATTTAAATGTTCATGTATATAATTGTGTATTAAACTAAACGACAATGTTGTCGTTATTGTTGTTGATTTCTTTTCTACAAGCAAAATGTATCATTCTTTTCTATCACCTTATTTGTGTAATTTATGCAGTTTCTTCTTTTAATGGCTACTTGAAATTTGTATAAATACATGTATGCATATAGAAATGAATATGTGTGTACCGTGAGACAACAAATTCTTGTCTAAGTCGTCAACTTTCCACGAGAAATAAAATTGTCGACTACAACAGTTGGCCTAATTAGGTAATTCGTTGTAGAACTTCTTGTTATCTTGTCCAGATCCTGTGTGAAAAATAGACTATGTGCTACGCCAATGAAGTGGTTATATGGAATGCCGGAAATTTGGTATCCTGTCGAATGTCTACGTCACTTTAATAAGAACCTTTCACGAGCACGCATATCCGGACGAATGAATATTGGAACAAATTTTTATTTCATTCTGAAAGAATTCTTTTAGATTATGATGATAAAAATTAACCATAAATCATAAAATACAGAAAAAGTACTTTTTAGTATAATAATTGTGAACCTATTTTGAACGGTGAATTCAAATTAAATAATTTCATTAAATGTATCAAATAAACGTATTATATGATTATTTAAATAATGAGTTACACTCTGAGATTTATTTAAAAATGTAAATGTGTGTCATTAAATAATAATATTGTAATAATTTAGAAATTGTGTTTTATGTTTTGCCAAGATTTAAATATTTTCAAAACAATTAATAAACCATATTTGAAAAATTTACTTGCACTTGTATTGGATTCACCGTCACTGTTATTGGACAAAATATTATTGACTCTTAATATCAATTAAAATAAAAAAAAGAACCCAAAAAATAATTAAATTTAATAAACGCAAAGAGAACGTAGAAAAAAAGTGGCATGAAAAATTTAGTAAGAAATTCAAGAAAGATCTCATGATTTCCGGCTTACTTGGTTCTCAACAAACACACGAATTAACAAATATCACGCATACACATACACACATATACAAGCTCATAGACATACACAGAGACACATTTACGCATGCAATGTTTCTTTTGCACGTTTGACATGGCTGATGTTGCAACAGCAGTGATGCTAATTACCCAGAAAGAGACTTAGACACGTTATTATTCCGTCTTGGTGTTCACTCTCTCGGAGGCAGCACATGACGAAACCAATTCTCACGGCCGATTATCTACTATCTTTCACTCTTTTATTTTCATTACATATTTTTTTTCATTTTACACTAGCTTAGCTAACGTATGTACAATGTATGAGAGGACACCGAACTTCAGATTATCTTAAAACTAAAAAAGAAAAAAGAAAAATAACAATAAAATAGAAAATAGGATATGAAAAATCTTTGGATGAAAACTTAGGTTATACTCGAACGATCATCGTTGAACTAATTACAAATTATTTTTGTCATTTAAAAAAAAATAGAATTAGAATCTGCTAGTTCTTTTTTTAAACTGTGTATCATTGATTGAATGAACTTTATCGGAATATTATTATTATTATTATTATTATTAATTGCTTTCATTTGACGAGTTACGGGTAACTTTGATAAAAATGAAAAAAAAAAAAAAATAGAATAGAAAGAAAAGTAAGAATAAGAGAAGTTACATTTTTTTGTTCATAACGTCCTTGTCTTCGTCAGACTCGTCGGTAATAATTTGAACGCTTCTAACCGGACCAGTTTTCCTGTATCTCGAAGCAGGCGTTGTTGTACTAATCATGGTGTTTCCTACCACAGCTGGTCGTTCAGCGTTAATAGCAAGTTGCAGCATTCGCAAAAGTAAGGCTTCTCTGATAGGCGCTGGTAAGATTTCATCTCCATCGTCAGTTATTTCTTGGGTATAAAACTTTTGTCGGTAAACGCGTTTGGCAAATCTGCCATCTTGGTAATCGTCGTACTGATGATGAGTTTGATAGATTGGATTCAATCCTCTAGTATAAGTTGGACGTCTCAATGGAACACGATCACCATATTGCATTGTTACTTGTTGATCATAAGTAGCAAGATCGGGTCTTGGTATGGGTGTTTGATATCCTGATTGATAAGACGGGTATGGTTGTTGATCGTAAAGAGCATCTTCCAAATAAGTTTTAGGATAGGATAGAGCTTGAACACCATATTGGCTAACCAGAAGACGTCTGAGTAACATCTGGAAATCTCTTCTACTGAGTGGAGGTGCTATTGGGTTTGGTGGTTCTGGTGGTAAAGCTAATGGCGTAGTCCGATAAACATAATCGGGAGTTGTTTGTTGATATTCTCGATCTTCGATATTTTGAGGAGCTGGTGATTGTGGAATTGGTCTGGCAATTGGTCTTACTCGTGCTTCTAGTTCTTGATAAATTAATGGTCGAGAATATGGTCTGGGTCTGACGTAATTTTGATTCATCGTCAAACGGGATTCTTCTTCTGGTTCTACAGTTGGATTATCGGATAAATAATGAACATTGGCATCTGTAGTGGTACTGTAAAGTTGTTGTTGATTGGTTACGGGCCTATACAAAAGTCTACCAATTGGAATTTGTCTATAAGCTTGTGATTCATCTTCAACATTATTTTGTTGAGCTTGTACCAAAATTCTCTGTGGTAATTCTCGTACATAGGATTCTGGTTGAGAACGTACAAATATAGGTTCTGTTGTTTGTCGAAGATATTCTCGATTTTCAACAGGTATTCTTGGTGGTCCACGAATCAGAATCGATTGAGTAGAAGTTTGTTCTTCCAACGTTGATTTTTGTTCTGGTTCGTATACTCTAGGACCTTCGTATTTGCCATCATCAAACCTAGCAGGCCCTAGATTGTCTCGATTAACAAATATTTTTGGTCTTTCTAAACGTGGTCCAGGAATACGTTGAAGAACCCTAGGTGGAATCGTAGTTGTGAACAATGGTCGTGTGGTGGACAATGCTCCACCATAAACGTCAGAATGCTCATCATTATTATTATTATTATTATTATTATTATTATTATTGTTATTGTTATTATTAGTCGATGTACTGGCTTTAGTCGAATCCTCATGAAGTTGTCTTCTCAAATTATTACCGGTAGATATTTTCGGCTCGTCATCCTTTTCAACAAAATCTTCAGTAATCGGTCTCAAATTTTGTTCGACAGGACGTTTGGCAAATAAAATTCTCCGATATCCACCATTCTTTTCTTCGGTACTTGGCCGATTTATCTGCGAATCTTCAGCTTCTTCAGAATCTTCCTCAACTCCGATTGGTCTTTGTTGGCCGTTAATAATAAATCGTGGCCTACTTTTGGAATTACCTTTCAAATAATGATTGAATATATTTTTCGTTGACTCGGTACTCGTACTCTGTGTTGTCGTAGTTGTTGTCGAAGTTGTTGAAGTTTTCCTCGTTCTTGGAATCGATTGGACGACCGATGATTTGGTCGATGATTCTGTTGAAGCGTAGACCAAATTTGGCCTCTTCGTTGTCGTTGTAGTTGTAGTTGTACTGCTACTGCTACTGCTTCCACTATTGTTGCTGGTGCTGGTACGATTGACACGTGGTATACTCTGGACCACCGATATGTGTTCCTGCAATGGCGATAGGGTCGTAGCTTTAAATCCCGTTCCGTTAGAGGAAGAATACGAGACTCTCTTTATTTCACCCTCAGCGTCGACGAAACCGAATGTACCTTTGATGTTGCCTAGAACGTCACGGGTCTCGACCTAACAATACAACTTTCAGGATCACGAATTTGTTCTTCAAATTTAGATTTTCAAATTTAGATTAAATTGTTTTGATTCAAACGATTTCGCGGAATGTATTATTCTGTTTAGTTATATTATTTCTAATCTACCGATCGATACGATCTAATAACTGGAACTCGTGAGAAGTATTATTACTTTACCTTGAATGATCCATCACCAGCTTCGTATCCATAAGTGTAAGAACCGTCTTCATTAACCTTTCTGATCTGTTTCAAGATAGCCACTTGATGATTGTGCGTACTTTCCGATGTTTGCTGATCCGTAACGTTCGTACAGCCTGCTGTCACCAGACAAAAGATTGCCATCATCCATGGCGTCATCTTAAAAACAAGCAAGCATATATTTAACTATAATTTATTTAATTAACTATTATTAATTAACTATATTTATGATTAATTAATTGTAATTTATTTTTACTTGATTGTTTTTTCAAAATTAATGCACTGTGTTAATAAATTGTTTTCACTTTTCACTTAAAATATTTTTCGTAATAAAACACTTTTGTTTTCACTAAAAAGTTATTAGACAAAGAAAATATAATATATGAATTTGTAAATAAAGATTCAAATGATTGTTATAAATTTGTGGAAGAAAATATTGATAAAAAAAAGAAAGAAGGAAAGAAACGAGGAAAGATTCGCGTAGAAAAGTAAAGTACCTTGCAACTGGAAACCATGTTACCGCAGATGCGGTGAATGTTCTCAATACCGCGTGGGGTGTTGACTGCCGTTATATATAGAGTGACACAACGTTCAGCCACCACCTACTAGAACTCCCTTCTCATCCTTCTCCGTAACCTTGGTGATCCCCAAACGTTCCTTATTTCAACCATAACATTATGTTTCAAGACCTTTTCTAAATTACTCTATAATTTAATACTCTACCTAGATCTTTTTCATTAATTTTTTTTCAACAAGTCAAGAAAAAACAAACAAAATTATACCGATTTCGTATAATTCCTTCACACTATAACATTCGTTGTCATTATATATAAAATATCATTAAAAAAAAAGAAATGTTTTATCTTGCAACGCAAAGAATTGAAGATTCTAGAAGAAAAGTGTGGAATTGAAAATACGTTTCGAAGAAAGTTCTTAGAGAATGAAAATTGGAACGAACGGAAATACGTTTGAAAAGATGTTGACAAGGGATGAGGGGGGAAGGAAGAGGAGAAGGAAGAGGACAAATGTTTGGATTTGCGGGGACAAGTGAAAGCCACGTGGGAGTTTTAGCAAGTTGGTTAGAACAGTAGTAGACTGTAAAATCTGTAACAATAGTTCCCATAGCTTTGCAATAGTCTCACATTGTGGTATTCGCTCGATTCTAGGCACTCCCACAGGACAATTATTACATCATGCAATTTCCTTTGCATTTCGTCGACGACTATTTCTTTTTTTTTTTTTCCTTTTTTCTTTCTTTTTCTTTTTCTTTTTTTTTGATGCCATTTCGATACGCCAGAACATGTATGCAAGTATGCAGTACTTGTATTTAATTACATCGTCAACTCGTCCGTTATCTCGAATGCGTAATACAAACTTCGTATACGTATGTGAGTGCAAACGTCTAATTTGATTTATAATTTTACAAATTTTTACTTCTAAATAATTTAACAAAATTCAGCACATTGAAAAGTTGAATATCATTGAAAGTTTAAAGTGAAAAAGAAAGTGGATAAATAATATTTCTCATACTCTGGGAATAAAATGAACAATATTTTTTTTTTTTTTGATATCCTCTCTAAGTACCGATTGTTTCTAGAAATTCGTTCTTTACCTTTCTCGTTATTGTCTTCATACCGAAATAAACCATAGAAGGAAATTACACTAGACAACGATCTTTTTTTCTTCTTTTTGTTAGACGAAAATTGAAAGCGCGACACCAGAAGGGATATTTCCTTTTATGTTAATGATATTGTTGGATGAAAGTGAAGTCTCGTAAAGAAGAGTTACAAATGTTTATTTATAAGCGTAGCCTCGTAATGAACTATTATCCCACGCACGTGTTTGTCCTTGATGGTTCTAATGTATCGTCCATGCTTGATAGAAATGCACCGATTCTCATACCGAATACATTATTCATTGAAGTACGCAATCGAACCTGTTTACTCGAAGATGACTCAGATATTTTTTCTTATTTTTTCTTATTTATTTAACTACCCCTGGAATAGATGCAACTCTTTCTACGTTGGTGTAAAACGTTAGACTACTAACTAGAGAAAAGTCTCTAGTCAATATAAGACAAAATAGCATTTTATAGAAAAGATAAAAAATAATAAAAAACTAGTCAGATGGAAATTTGAGATCTAAGAAAAAAAGGATATGTCCAGGAAAAAGAGGACGTATAATAATCTTATCTAATTTTTTCTTCTTCTGTTGGATTACTTTTTGTTTGGATTATTAATAAAACGGTGGTCATTATTCTAATAATTTTCTTTTCTCTCTTTCTCTCTCAATCCTTTCTAATGTCGTTAGAAATATTAACGAAAGACTCATTTGTCTGAGCAATACGATTGGATTTACAACATCCCTTTGACATTTGAGTAGGACGAAGGATATTGCGTATGAGTGTTTGTAACAAGTAGCTGGAGATATTCTTCATCCTGCATGATCAAACGTTGTAGTTGGTCTCGTTTAACTATCTTTATTTAAATATGTCATTTCAAACGATTTCAAGTACACTTTTTTTGTTCTTCTTAAATTTATATTTTGCTGTAACATTTTACAACAAGTTTGTACAACAATCAGGAAGGATATTTGATATTGATTTTGGATTTACAATCCAACGATCACTTTACCGATAGAAATGTCGTCACGTTTGTCGATCATTTAGTCGAACATCCTAATCGTTTCCTACGTTTATCGATAATTGAAGTAAAAAATGCAAAAATAAAAGAAAATAAAAAAGGACATAGAAAGTATCCATCCAATCGTCACTTTCACCGATTATTATAGTAATTTGAATTGGACCATGACGCCATTAATAAACCGTGACCTCCATCTCTTTTGTTTCTACAATATACGACAAGTTCAAGGTTGCACGTTTTTGCGTATTATTGAATTCGAACAGACATAATAATTGTTAATTACAAAAATTTATTCAATTCAAAAAATCGAACGAAATGATCGTAATAAAATCATTGCTGTTTAAAATTAGAACTTTCACCTTGTAATTGTTAACGATCGTTAAATGAAATGATTCATTTTTTTTTTTTTTTAAATTATTCGAGATAATTGTTCATAGAGTGTCGTAGGAAAAGTGTTTAATGCGTTAACAAAGCGTATCTTGGGTGTGACATAAAATTTTGACGTTTCCTTACTTTCTTTATTATCTTTTTATTTCTTTTGCCTTTACCATTTTATTATTTTATTTCACAGATTTATCTTCCGGGTTATTCGAAGAACGTTTGTTTTATAGTGACGCAAAATTATGACGCTTCCTTATTTTTAACCAATATTTTTTTCTCACCTCCCTTTTTAATGTAATAAAATTTAATATAATATATATTAAATAAACAATTATTAACATAACAGACAATTATATTTTGTAATAACATAATAAACAATTATTTTATTACACTAATGTATTCTACTTATGTTACAAGAAAATTTAGGTAAAAGGAGGGAGAAGGGATAAAAAAGGGGTGGGGAAGAGTGGGGATAGATGTTGGGGTAGTTAGGGGGTTTGGGAGGGTAGAGAGTTAGAATATTTAAAATTATATGTAATATAGGACAACGTTCCAGTCTGAAAGTGAATTCCGAGGAAGACGGTACTCTGATCATATACTCGGTGTTTTCAGGTAACAATGCATATTTTTTTCGATTAATTAACAATTATTTCAATATTCTAATACACTCTAATGATATTTCAGATTGTTTCAACGCATATAGATTTGTTTAAACATTCTTTTGACTTTCATTAAATAGAAAATCATTTTGATATGTTATTGCAACAGCAACTAGACATTTGATGAAAATTTATGTGTTTGGCTATTGTATCACTTGATTGTATCATAAATGTAGTTTCCTTTTTGTTACAGGTGATCATCGTTAGATTTAACAACAAACCTTTGAAATTTGTTCTATTTGAGTTCCTCGTAATGAAGTCGTTAGCGTGAAATTAAAGAATGCATCATGCATGCTATGGAAGATTATATGTGCAGGTTAAATACCTACGAGCTCGTTTGTAGATTCTAAGGATAATTTCCGTAATTGAAGAAAGTTTGTTGAGCATAAATTCATCAACGTTCTAACGTTCTGATTAAAAAGGAAGAGTCTCTTTACCCGAGTCACTATTTTTTCCGGCATAGGAAACGCGGAAATTATGTCGTGTGTAGTTTTTTCATATGCTCTGAACACGAATCTAATTTTGTACAGGACAATGGAAACAATCAGGATTTAGAAAAACATGATTTTTTTTTTTTAACCCTTTTCTCTCTTTTTTTTTTTAGAATTCTTCTTTACGTTTATAAATGATAATATTTATTAGATAATATAAAACGAGACTATTGAGATAGAATTTATTATTTGTCGATAAAAAATAACATTTCCTGCGTACAAATCGCTAATACGTTAATCCTTAAAAGTCTAAGCGTATTATTTACAGCGTAAATATTATAATAATATTAATAATAATAATAATAATAATAATAATACTAGTTCTAATACTAATAATAATTAGCGAAATAATATTAATAATAATAATAATAGTAATAATAATATTAATAATAATAACATTAATAATATTATTAATATTTAAATGTTGCCACGAGCCCATCGTTGTTGACCGATCCTTTTAAAGAAAATATAAATAATTATTTAAAACATTGTCGTCTTTGCTATTGAACTCGTAAAAACAATTGTTAAATTAAAAACTATTCGATGATGCAAATATCATTCACATTTTAATTTAACATTTGGCAAAATAATTATATTTTTTTAAAAATGTATGTTCTTTTGTTGAACTAATAGAGACGAGTGTTCAATTTCAAAATATTTGATGGTGTAAATTCTTACGTATTCTAATTGAACAAAATGATTATCTGGATATACACCACTGAAATAGTTTCTAACGACAGAAAGAACATTGATAGAAAGTTGTGGTTTGCCACGAGTAGAATGTGCATGGTCTGTCCCTATAAAGTCGGGACCACGCCGATGAAAGTAAAGTAAGTACTTACATCGCAATTCTCTTTTGCACGTTCCCCGGTTATCCCCTACTCAAAGAAATAAGCTTGCAAAATTCGTTCAGCATATTACGTAAGATAACGGAATATTTTCAGATAGGTGTAACCTATTATGATATCTTTGAATTCATATATGCATGTACAAATGTATAAATGTGTGTTATACATGAATTTATGTGTGTGCTTGTAAATTCGTGTATGTATGTTTATTAACTATACAAATTGAACACACTGCTTGTCTAAATTCATGTATGTATGTGTAAATGTATATATGTGTGTGTGTTATGTATGAATTTATGTCTATGTTTAATGAGTTAACTGTTGAATATAAACACGTACATGTATATACACATCGAGGTAACCAATAATAATTTCCGAATAGTTTCATAGTTGTTTTGGAATAAATGGCGTGTCTTCATATGCCAATTCGGTATACCAAAGAATCAACTTGATTATTCGCGAGGATAATCGATCGATTTGCTGTTAGGTCGAAAGGTCCACGATAACGGTGAATATTTTGCGAGAAATTGTGGGGTGGATTAGGCCAAAGAAAATTGCATGTATGTTGCTTTCTCTATCGCGTTTCTCATGCGTTCATTTATATCAATCTAATCTTGAAATTGTAATAAGTAATAATTTTCATTTTTCTATTTCTCTTTTTTGTTTAACAAGCTAGGAACACAAAGCATTTAGTTTCATTGAAAAGGATCGGTGCAACGTTCGAGTTTAAAGAAAATATATAAATATAGTATATATGTATGTGTATATACTAATCGCTGTACTATAGTCGTCCCTTTTTTTCTGTATCATCGAGTTCACAGACGTGTAGCGAAAGGAATAACTTTCTAAAAGATTCGCAACTAAAATTTATCGTGTTGCATTCGATAACGCTCTAAAGGACCCTGAAGATAAATTGTAGATATATATATATATATATTTATATATATAAAAAATCGAGACGATCAGCAATTATCTCGTTCTGATCAATAGTTGTTGGCAGAACTGGCTGAACGAAGGTACTGATCGATTTGACTTGCAGTAAGTGGCGCACTCGCAGCCACACCGGATGATCTTGCCGGTGCAACGTAATAAAACGCTTGGGGGTCTCTCTGAGATTCCAACAATTGAAGTCTCTGTGGTTGTTGTTGATGTTGTTGTTGCGATTGTTGTTGCTGTTGTTGCTGGCGACGTTGTTGCTGCTGGGCATAAAGATTCTGGGACTGCATGAGCAACTGGGTCTGTTGTTTCCTATAGAGAAGTTCCTGGGGTTGAGCAACGGACACAGCCGAGATGGAAGCAGATTGTACAGCCTGAGGGAGATGTTTGTAAAGGGCCGACTGGCGTTGAGGTTGCTGCTGCTGCTGCTGCTGCTGCTGCTGGATCTGTTGCAGCTGCTGGAGGCCGAGTAGGGACTGGTGGGGCTGGGCTACGAATGGTTGGAGTTTGTGACTGAGGCTAAAATCCCCAATGGTTTGGGGTAAGGTCTGATAAAGTTGGGTATTGTACTGACCAGTTGCGGGATCGTAAATCAGTTCCGACTGATAGATGGGCTCCGCGGGGACCGTGGTGACCGTAGTTTGACCTAGCTTCGCTCTCGAGGGTGCAAGTGCGGCTTGTTGGGCAGATTTGGAGGGAACACCAACGGTGTTAACGTAACGCTCTAATTCCGCGGCAAAATCGAGGTGGGCTGAGCTGGAGGGGCCGGTGCTGGTGCGAAGATGATTCGAGGTGCTCGGGTTGGGCCGTGATTGCGTGCTGTATGGAATGGATCTTTCAGTGCTACTTGGGGAAACATACTGAGCGGCTACCTGGGCAATATGGGGCCTGGGCGTTATGGCGACCGATTGTGGACGAACTTGGTGACGAGTTACTGGCTTGCGAGTACTCGTCTCGAGCGATTGATAAGCTAACGGTGATACCGTGGATGGGGTTCTTTCCGAAGGTGCAGCTGTCGTTTGATATTGTACATTCGAAGTGGACGCCAATCTGTAATATTGTGGTGCACTAGTTGGCGTTGGTTCGTAAAGGGCGGTCGATGGTGAAACTTGAACGTAGGATTGTTGAGGCTTTCTAAAAGACGTAGGTCGAAGTTGGACTGGTTTCTGAACTTCTTCTTCTAATTCTTGACTAGCCTCGTCATCAAGTTGGTATTGTGCTTGGAAAATAGTCGTTGGGGCACGTGTAGTACTCGACTGATAATTGGGCCTTATCGGTCTGATCGCGACTGGTCTGACCGATGGATAATTTGCTGGACCGTTGAGATCATCGTCTTCTTGTTTTTCCGGAAGATCGTCCTCTTCTTCTTTGGGTGCGTTAGGGTCGCAAGGATTGCCGGATACGTAGGTAAACTCTCTTTTGTTACCATCAGGATCGACGTAACCATATTTCCCTCTTACTACGCAATCCGTTCCTCTGGTTTCTTCCTTGAAAGAACCATCAGCTGCTTCGTAACCAAACGTGAAAGATCCATCGTCGTTGACCTTGTTGTAATTTCTTATAGTTTGCACGGGTGGTGCTTTGGATGGTTGCAAAGACTCCTTTGAACGTGCCGATGGTAATGCACGTGTTCTAGGCTGATAGACCGTCTCAAAATCATCTTCAGCTGCTTGATTGTCTTCTTCGTAATACACTTGTGGTTCTCTTACTCGAGGCCGAATGGAAGGTCGAGCTGATTCCGTTAGAGCCAGCAGACACGCTGCGAGAACCTGTCGTGCGAGATAAGAAATCAGAAATTAATTAGATTGAAATGGCGATTGGAAATAATCTGTGTTTAGTTATCAACAACAACAAATAACTAACAACGATTCTCTTTGTATCTATCATCTGACGTAAAATCTAACTATTGTTAGAGAATGTAAGAGAGATATTGTTCAGTATTAAATTTTCTTTTCTAAACACGAAACCGGATCCACGTATCGAACTACGCTTCTAGTCAATATAGGAAGCAGAAGAGACAGCCAAGGAGAGAGCGAGCAAATTTCGCGGATCGCTGAACTCGAGTGTGTGCGAGAACCCCAAGTGCCATGGAAAATTCCATATAGAGTCTCTCGGAACGAGATCGAAACCTCATTACGAGACCACAACCATGTAATCCCATGTATAAAAGGTAATTGAAAATTACTGGTTTGATCATACATCCTTCGAAAGGTTTGTCAATTTGTGTTGAACCAAAGAAATTGATCGTTATGATTACAAATAAATCTTTATTATGAAATAATTCCACCGTTTCATTTGTTAATTAAGTTTTAACGTTGTAAGTGGATAAAATTTAAATTAGAAAAATTGTGATATTAATTAATATATGAGGTATTAATAAACGGGAAGGGAAGATTCACATAATTGCAAATATTCTTTTTTTTTCTAGTAAATTGAGAGACATTAACGAATGGGAAGGAAAGGTTTACGCAATTCCGACTATTATCTTTCTTTATTTTAATTAATAGTAAAGTTAATTAGAAATAATTTTTAATATTCTCATGCATATTTGTTAACTCATATTCAATAATAAAAAGCATAAAAATTAAATAAATAATAAATAAAACAAACATCTGACAAGAAAGAAAATCTCATGCAATTTAAATTATTTGTAAGACGGATGTAATAGGTTGGAAGGCAAACCAGGATGAATCCTTGAAAATTATAAAATATTATTCTCATGCATTAACTCATATATTTAATAATAAAAAGATGAAAAAAAATCGTAAGAATAAAAAACAAAACAAACATCATGTAACAGGAAAGAAAGTCTTACGCAATGAAATTTGTTTTCGAATGACGGATGTAAGATGTATAATCCAGTTGGAAGTTAAAACTAGGATAGATCCTTGAAAACTAAAACGCATATTTGACGTGCTCGTTGACCATAGTTTTCTTCAGACACGTTCTTAAAATGTAAGAAAAGGTTGTCTGTATTTCCGGTAAAGTGAGTTGCGGTGGGAACCGCCCCATGGTTGTGGGCGGTTACGTAATATAGTAAGTACAATATATATATATATATATATATTGTCTATATCTATAGCATGATACTTGGTTGACCCGAATACGAAGGCAGGCGAAGTGGTATGCCTCTTTTACCGTGAGATTCAGATTCAGAGCGGCGTAACTTGGCGTGGCTCATTCGTCGAACATACACGGCTCTTGATCTCCTTGAACCGAAGCAAATGCTCGCACATGAATAGAAGAAAGATGAAAAGAGATACAAATATAGATATGTGTGTGTGTGTGTGTGTGTAAGTAAGAGTACCACACCTCCCGGCGACGAACTGCTACAGGAAACGCGGTTTACTTTGACTGTCACTTTTACCGGCGCGTTTTGCACTTAAAAAGATCGATCGAGAAAAAATAATGAAAGGATGAATAATATAAGATACTATTATGAGATCCTAATTCTTGTTTTGCTCGATCATTTAAGATTAATCGTCGAATGATACGACCTTCCAATCGTTGTTGAATTTTAATAAGGATTATGCAATCAGACCTTTATTGTGTTACAGAATCGAAACCAAGCAGGATAACAATCTCGATTCTAGATCATTCTAGATGAATAATTTTTCTTAGTTAACCATTAAGGGGATATTCGACGAATGTCATGAGCGTAACTGAACAAATCTTTCTCTTTTTCTTTTCTTTTCTTTTCTTTTCTTTATCGTTTTGCTTAGACGCACCGTGTGAAAGGACAAATATCAAAGTTTGCTACGATAACGATCTAGATTCTCGATCATTCTGAAAATTATATTGTTCTGGAGAAATTATATAACGATAAAGGTGTTTTACGAATGTCAGGTAATAAAGTTAATGCGATATTTAAATGAAAAAAAAAATTGGAAAGAACAGAATGAATGTTCCTACGCACTGCACGAAAGGTTCTGACATTTAATCTAATCGTAAGTATAATAAAAATTGACCAATTCCTACGGAAAGCATTTCATTAACGCGATTAGCGAACATTCGAAGCACGCTCGGAACGAAACGTCCTTGAATGTTAGGACTTTCGAACGGTACAATAAGGTATGCATCGTGGTCTCCTGGGCGTGAGCCAACTCATTTCTCGTCGTAATAATATGATGGCTTGATTCTCTTTCTGACCAGTTACTACTACATTAACAAAACGTGAGATCCTAATCGATTTTGGTCAGTCACGGACGTATTCACGGAGTACGAAAGATTTACAAATCCTTTTGTCCCGTTAAACTCGTTTTCTTAGGTATTCGAAATTATTCCTGATCGTTCTAGTTTTTTTTCCTTATTTCGAATCTAAAAATAAATTCTGACGCAAATATTCCAACGATTTACTAACACATACACGTACAATAAAAGTTACAATTTTAGTATTTTTCATACTTCATTGTGATAATAAAAAAAATATCAAAAATCATGAAAATATGTAATCGAATATGAATCGCACATTTTTTTTTATCACAAATCTATAAAAAAAGAATATATATATATATATCAAAGAAGTAACCGCATTGAATCAACCGAAGTGTAATGACTCGTTGTGGAAAATCGTGACGGTTAGGCCCCGTACTCCTATAATCAAGCAAACGGTGCACGCCAGTCACATACAGTGAGAGGTTTTACAGACACATTCGGTACCACGCCTTGTTTAGCCCTCCTCTTACAAACGGTTCAACTATACCTCTCTCTTTCTTCGCTTTCCAGAGAAAGGAAGAATCGATATACGATCGATATATAAATCCCAATAAAAGTATATCTTCGTCGTCGTCGTCGTCGTCGTCGTCGTCGTCGTCGTCATCGCCATCGTTATTTCTTCATCTAATACATTTTTTTTCTTTCAAAATATCCTAGATCGATAAGTATGTTGATAAAAGGAAGTAACACGCGTAACACCAACCCGGAAATCTTCATGTTTTTTTTTCGATATATCAAAGTGAACGGCGTTCGAAATGTTTAACAGAGTATTTTAACGATATCCTTATAAAGGATGCTGTAGATCTCGTGTAACATTCGAGAACCTACCTAGATCTTATTTCTCATTTCTTTTTTTTTTTTACTTTGAAATCATTAGGAATGCGAACGTAAAAGAAACACGTATACAGAGAGAAAGAGAGAAAAAGAGAGAGAGAGAGAGAGAATGTGTAATGGTATTGGTGTTAGAAACCTTTCGATTTTATCGACCACTTATATCTTCATGTAAGCGGAAGCTGTATTAATACTCGTCAACTAACAAAGTACCAACAAACTATTTCTTTTTAATAGAGATTCGTAAAGTTAATTAACCACAATAAATTATTTTTATTATAATTGTTTAAAATAAATAGTTATTAAAATAAAATATTAATAATATTTATTTTTATTTTTATAACTCTTTATTTATATTATTTATAACTTATATTTATATTTTTATTATTTATTAACTTTTTTTTCGTATTACTTTATTCACTTTATTGTATTCTTATTTTTTTTTATGAAATAATGCGTTTATCTCGTTAATAAAATAAAAAAACAAAATCTTGTTACATTTCTTTTCCTATTTAGGTTTACAGTTGTAAAGTGATTTTATATCTAATGCATAATAATTATTTAAAACGGTTAGACTCGTCGTTACAGATATAATCGATCGTTAAATTATACGAAAGTGTAAATTTGAATCACACAAGTGGTGGGCCTTAACAGGTTCGAAAGTGAAATCTGGAATGTACGTAGGTATACGTGAGTTGAATAATATTTAAAATAATGGCCCCTCTTCTTCTTTTTCTTCTTCTTCTTTAATGATTACCTTTGAACGAAACAAGTACTGTTAGGAAATACACGATTTGGATTGCGCGTTTATTTTCTTCATACAATGGGCGTGCGTAAGATCCTATGATTGTCATGATTAATCTTCGACCTTGCAAATCGAGTTTTTTTTTTCTAGAAACGTTCGTAGTTCTTTTTTTTCAATTGAAGAGAATATAAAAAAAAAATAAAATTTCTTCATTTTAATTATAGTATAGAAAAATAATTATATTTTCAAGGCCAAATCGTTGATAAGATGATATATATTATCGGCAAGATTGTAATGAAATGAAAAGATAATCCAAGATATTGAGATAAAGTCTTAGAAGGATGAGAAAGTCGTGTAGAGGATCAATGACCCTGAAAGGAACATAGTTCCAATGCACTAAGAGTCAAGGGTTGAAATTCAAGGCCAGGCTATCCTTACCAACGTGCATAAAGTGAACGAGACTATTATCGAGTCTTAAAGGAATCTAAAAACGGAAAACAAGAAACTCCTTTTAAACCTGTGGGAAAGAGGAGAGGTTGTACTTTCGAATGAAATTTATGTTCGATGGTGCGTAAACGTTTTAAAGTTATACTATTGAATTTTTCTTAAAAATAAAAATAAAAACTAAAAATATATACAATAAAAAGAGGAAGAAAAAAGAGAAAGAAAATAGAAGGAAGAGAATTTCTAGGATAAGTTTAACTTTCAAGTTTAATATCGCACATAGTGATCTTTAGATTTCCTTCTTTCTTCCTCTTGGAGTGTCGTTCTAAGAGACAAAAGATTCGAAAGTAAGAAGAAACGCGAGCTGCCTTCGACGTTCATGGAAAAGCAAAAGTAAGACTTACCGAGGATATGAAAAGTGAGTCTAAAAAAGGAACGAGAAATTTACCGTTTCGAATCCAAGTATCCAACAAAGTTGGCATGGTTACGTTTCCTTTGGTTTACTATCGAGAATTAAGAATGAATGTGAGTCATTTCGTATAGATAATTGAAAGTAATTCGTATTGGTATGCCGAACGAATTCTACGATGCCCTTGTGCGATCAAAACATACATAATAATACCCACACACTCACACACACACACACATATACAAGTATACACGAAATCTTATTTACGTATTGCGTATGCTACTATAGTAACGTATGCTTTTCTAGGAATGACATTGCGTTCGTTGTATGTTTTACTCTCACTTTATTTTCTCGAAAGAAAATATCAACGATAGTTTATCACGTTGAACAAATTGTATACACACTAAGACGATTAGTTTGATTAGAAACATCTTTTCAATAAGACATTACGTATATTATTCACAATAGTTTGGTGAGTACAAGATTATAATGAAATATATTTTTATATTATTGAGTTGCTTGGAAAGTTCTTGTCAATTTATAAATACATTTATTTCAATGAACAAATATTTTCAGTATAATTGTAAATATACTGTAAAATGTATAATTATCGAAAATTTGTAAGAACTTTTGAAACAAATCCAATAATATATAATTGTAATTTATTACTTAAAGTCAAGTAATAAGAAATGTAATAATCGTTAATGTTTCCATTCGTTTAGTGTTAAAAGAATAAGATGGAATGATGTCTTAATTGATGATTGGATCTTGTTATCGTTTTGATCGGCGATTATTTTCCAATCGATAGATCGAGAATCAAACGAAGGGGAAAAATGAAATGGTTAAAGATTATGGTAAAGTGGCGAAACGTTAATCGTAGATCATCGATCAAGAATAACGGAAAGAGCACAAATCGTTAGAGTAAACACATTCGCTCGTGCCTAACGTCTAGACACGAAGAAAGCGTTGAGATTCGCTTCCATTATGTGAATTAGCTTCGCTTTCGCAGTTCAACGTGCACGGTTTCTCTCCGTCTGATTGCTTTCCTAACGTATTAAACTAGACTTAGGAAACTAGAAGTTTACTATTCTTACTTACTTACTTGCTTGCTTGCTTACTTACTACCAATCGAAACATTTACACAATTAGTCTTTCGATAATTAAAATCCTTCCAAGTTAATCGATTTTCTTAACGAACTTTTTCTAATCGTTTTAAACTAGATCGAAAATTAGAAAGACACAATCGATAGATCGATCGATCAATTTTGAAAGTCAACAACGAAACATTTCAAACTGGTTCGAAATTAGAAAAGAAAAGAAGAGACAAATATATTGACTATAATATTTTTCGTATAGTTTTCATTTCGAAAGTTAATCAAAAGATCGATTAATATTCCGTTAGAGTTGACTTTGAATTAGGGTTATTAGGTTAAAATGATGAAAGAAAAAATTGAATACAAAAAAAAACTAATAATAACGTTCCCTTTTAACGATCGGTGAAAGTGAGAAAGAACGATATAACGATCTTTATCGAATCGATATCCCTTCCGATATCGATTCTATTACGTGCGAAACGAATCCAACGCGTACAATGAACCTTTGTATGAATGTGTTTGTATGTACCTTCGATCTTTATTGCGAACTCGTTATATTATACCGAGTATTTCAATGTACGGATCGTTTTCCAAGCGATCTATCTCTATTTTTAATAAATCGTTAGATCGAAATCAAGGAATGTTGAACATACGTAAGTAATGCGTGATTATAATGGAAAAAGGATTTGTGATAAATTAGAAACGAGTTGGAATTTCAAATGAATTATGTGATACATATTATATGATCGATATACTTTCACCGCTTTTTACATATTTTATTTATTTATTTTTCTTTTGTTTTCATATATTAGCGCGAATTTATTATAAGATAATTAAAGCTAGTTAATTAAAAAAAAATTATTCCAATAACTGGCACGGTCTGAAGATTTAAATTTATTAAAAAGTCAATTTTGAATTTGAAATGAAGAAATTATTAAATTTATTTTATTTAAATATTATAAAAAAAAAAGTAAAGTGAAAAAATGAGTTTAGTTTGACGGAAAGAAAATTTGTTTCCATGTTAGATTCAATTCACTTTTTAAATATTTTTAAGTAAAAAATAATTGTAATTACTATTCTTACGTGTTAATAACTTTATATCTGATGAAAAGATTATGAAGATTGAAAAGATAGAAAGATGGGAAGAGCGTAGTATTATTTCCGTTTTTTTTCCTCGAAATAAATACTTCGAAGGGGTGTCTAACCGTGAAAGACGAGTTACGATACTTTCGTTATCCCACATGATCCATGATCCGTAGCAAACTCGAAGTATGTGAGAAAAGTAGAATGCATAGGAACTAGGAAATGCCATAAATAGATAGAATTATTTTTACAATAATTTGACGTAAATACGTGTTATCCCATAAAATCAATAACACAAAAATACGAAAATGTTAAAAGCTATATAAATAATAATAATTATTATTATCAAGATTAATTTTAATTCAGTAAAAGTGTTACTTTAGACGAAGAATAAGACAGGACAATGATTATTATGATTATGATGACACGAGAATGATGATCGTGGGTATATAATAGGATCGAGTATAAAATGTGTGAAAACCTAACGTATAATTTCTCATTCTAGTAAAGCATTTGTTTAAAAGACAAAAGAAAAGAATGAACTCGCGAGAAAATGGAAAATAACAAAATTGTTGTTTACTGGTAGATGTTGTCAGCTATTCTCCCTAGAGAAAATGAAAATCTAACCTACCACTATATAAAGCGTTAACGATACTATAGGTGTATATTCATACATGCATACACACATATGCATATACATATGCTGGTACGTACTTATGTTTAAATTGAAGGCGAACGCGTTCGATAGTAATGATTCGGAAATGACGAATAATGAAGAGAAAGTCACCATTCTGTTCGCAACATTATTCCGACGTAACTATGCGGGAATAATCGCACGCGATATGATGTTTTATAAAAGTTGTTTAAACAATTATCTTCTATGATTGATCATTTCATTATATTATTATCGATTATTAGAAAAGTTTATCGGTTAATAGAAAAGTTTCCTTTTTTTCTAAGGAAAGAAACAATTTCGTTTAGATACAAAACACTGGATATGTCTAAGAAATTATTATAATATTATTATACACATGGATAACTCACATGGATTCAAAATAAACCTGTAGTAAATAAAATTAAATTAAATATTAAATAAAAAATTGAGAAATTATTAGAATTTATAAATAAAATTACAAAAAAAAACACACACACACAAAAAGTTTTTATACAAATAATAATTAATATCAATATCTATATAAAAATAAAAATAAAAAATGATAAATTTAATTAGGAATTGAATGTATATAAAAAATTGGATGAAAGTAAATAAATAAAAATAGTAATGTATGGTCGAGTACGTACCAAAAGAAAAATCCTCATGGCGTTTCCGTTAGTGAAGGGTTAGAGACGGTGAGGAACGGTCCTCTAAGAGTTTCACTGAGAGAGTGCAGTGGGATAGTACCCACCTCGGTCCTTTATAACCTATACGAAGGCTTTTACCAATAGTGGGGGCATCTTGGATAGGCATTCGTTGCTCATCGGACACACTGGAACACCCGCGAATTAGATTCTTAGATGGGGCTTGTTGCTTTTCTGTGTGACATGGCCATTGCCAAACCGTAACAATTCAATAGTAGGGGAATCCCATTGCCAAATTTGAACAGTCGACAATTCTTTCTCTTATCTATCAGATTAAACTAGGACATATTTTATATGAGTACACTGACTGAAATAGTAAAACGTTAATGTGAGATCCTAGTTGGTTTTTACGTTGAAAGAATATGGCAAATTTATTCTACTTTCTTTGGATAATGTTTTTTTTTTTTTTATGGTCAATTGTTATTCATTATTTTATGTAATATGTTGCAAGTTATTTCTAAATTTGTATTGTATTGTAACAGGTTTAGGTAAAATGTTGGTTGGACTGATATTATTTTTTTATAGTTGGATGAAGAAATGTTCGTGGGATTAATTTAAAATTATTTTACGTTGTTTTTTATATTTATTTTTTTACTACTTTTGAATCAATATTTGTAGAATCAAATTGATAAATATTGAACGTTATCAATAAATATCTTTGGTGTGTAGATAGAAAAATATAAACGGTACGTCGAGCATGTCGAGAAATAAACATCTGTCCAGAAGAAAGTGCTGGAAAGATCGTCACCGATATCTGACACGATCTCTCTCTCTCTCTCTTTTTCTATTCAGGATATAATATTAATTCGGGAGAGTTTCTTTCAATTGATGCCTTTCTAAATCAATCCTTACTTCCGGATTAATTTAATTCCCATAAATCTTTATTAAAACGTGTTAATTTCTTTTTTTTTTTTTTTTTTTTCAATTTTTACCTTTTTTTTGTGTAAATTAAATATTTATATGGAACGATTACGAGATATGTGAAAAGTAAGTTAGGCGTGTATGGTAGTAACATGTTTAAATATGTTCGATAATTATTCACTCAGCTATCATAATAATCATTGTTTCGTAGAAGATTTCATAGCAAGTCGAGTTAGAATAATAATATAAGGAATACACACTTGCCTACTTTCATTATCAAGACGAGTCTCTCGCTCTCAGGATGATCATCAATGGTGAAGCAGCCACGGGGCTTTTGCTTGCCACGTGCTAGAATGAAATAGAAAGAGAGAAAGAGAGAAAGAGATAAATAGATAGAGATAGAGAGAAGATCGTGCAGTCTTCATTTACTCGTGCCATCGATTCATCGTTTGCAATTTACGTTGCAAGGGCACGTGCTTAGTCGGATTAGATTTCCTTCTATTTCTATGTGTATCACTGTGTACCTTTGTATATGTGTTTGTGTGTGAATAACAAAAATATCATTAAAATTACTTTATCAAAAAAATATTAAAAATAAAATTTCTGTTGTTTTATGAATGAATCATTGTAAAAATAATGAACGAAAAATTTGGATAAAATCGATGATATAATTTTATTGAACAAAATTTATAAATATGTAAATATTGAATTATTATTGGTACACATTAAAAATAAATAAATAAATAATATTTGACGTATCTCGAAAGGACGGATGCTCGACTGACCGTCTTAAAACTTTCGAAGGGGAAAGTTATTTTCACGCGCCTATTTTCACGCTCACGAAGTCCTTCGGCCTTACACCGTCGACGTTACACCGGTAAATAAGTACATATTTAATTACGTTCGTTACTTTCGTTACTCGTACCTTACTATACTTGTGTAATATCATTTTCTCTCCTCCCCCCTCCCGCCTCTTCTTTTTTTCTTTTTCCTTTTTTCTTTCCTTAGATATAACAGATACTTCGAATCGTTACATAAAGGAAATGAATTTGATCTAATTGAACTAAACCGCATTCTTAAAATGTCCAACAAACGACGGCCATTTTAGTTCCGTTTTCTTATTATTTATTTTCTTTTTTCTTTTTTTTTGTTTCGTTTAACTATAAAAATTCGACTCAAAAAAAACCATTAAAATTTTATGCTCGTTACGCAAGCAGCATATTAAAGGAAGAAAATATTTAAAACAGTTTATTAGAAATCATTAGTAAAACGATCATATATATATAAATACTATAATTTTCTCGATGATTTTGTTTAAGACTATGAAAGTTAAATGATAAATAGGTCTAACATAAGACCTATAATAATTCACGAGTTTTCATGCAGCAATAGTATATAAGTCTACGTTATTTATAAACTCGCTTACGTAAAAGTTCGAATCTTCATCCACATAACGTCACACCTGAATAGCAAATGCAAGAACGGTCCTCTTGTCTTGCGTATAAGAAGGTCAACGTACATTAAGTAATGCTCACTTCGCATGGACAAAGGTGCATTATGATGATGATAGAATTGTTTGGTACTTTGCCAAGATTTTCATTTTATTTTTATAAACCTTTTTTTTATTACTAATTGTTAAAAAAAAACCTCATTTACCGAAAAGTATCATCTGAATAATCGGACCGATTTAAATTGAACTAAATTCAAACACAAAGTTCCTCACGGTCGAAAGAATCGTGAGTATTCTTCGTTTCCTATGAAATTAATTATAATTAATTTATTAGAAGACTAATTTAAGTAGCCTAATTACCTAATTTAGTTTCGTTCATTACCAGGATCTATTTCATCACTTTCTCGACATTAAAAAGATTACAATCTCAAGTACCTGTATTTTGAGAACCGGATTAACACAATTGTACGACGGATTATCATTTGAAAGGGGCATATCAAGCAAATTGATTTTTTTTTTGTAAAAGAGCAGATCTCGTGAGGATTTCGCAACTACGATTTGTGTGAATTCGTGAATCTGATACAGAAAATAAAAATAAAAATTGAAATAAAAAAATCTTTCAATCTCGTTTCCTTGATCCTTTTATCCTCGGAAAGTAAAAGTTGGTATTATGATCCTGTATGTGTTAATAACAGGTTTATGTATGTGTACGACTATCCTGTTCTTTTCTACAATTATTTTAGAAAGCATAGAAGAAAAAAAAAGGACAAGGATCCGAAACGTGGATAAAAAAGACATCAAAGATCAAAGATGATCGTGGATGGTTTATGATAGGTTCGTTTTATTAATGATTTCTCTTTATTTCGATAATAATAATTACATTATAATAACCTAATGATAAAATTGAGAGACGTGGGCTCCCACGTGACTTTAACACGACAATACACGTGTCCATTTTCCTTTCTCTTTTATTTTTCTCTCGTAGGGGAGCACGAGTACAGTGCGAGTTAACATTTTATTATTTTTTTAACTAATCGTAAAATATTTTTCAGACCTAATTCATGTAATTTAACGAGGTTTCGGTTTCAATGGCAAGAATTCGGTGTAATTAATTCTAATGATTATTAGAGGAAGGATTATCATTCAAGGACAACATCATGTACTACCGGAACAAGGATTCTCACGTATTTGATCTTGATGCTTATCGATTTAGTAAGAGTTTTGAGAAAATCAAAAAATCAAAAAGAACATTGAACAGGAATCAACTTCACCGATTGACCTCGAGATATTTCCCCTTCTCTTTTTCTTTTTCTTTCTCTTTCTCTTTCTCTTGCTCTTTTCTCTTGCTAAAAGAACTATCGATCAACTATAACTAACATAAGAATGAGTATAATTGTTCCGGTAGTAACCCGTATTTAGAATATCACGAGTTGCGGAATATTCTCGTTGATTATTCTAATCGTCCTCGAATCCTTTCTATTTTAAGACACAGATACCTAATTACTAAAAAATTATTAATTAGAATATCAAAAAAAAAAAAGAATGAAATACAAAAGGGAAAAAAAACCAATAAAATAAAATATAATGCACTGTATGATATCTGACAGTCATAAAATATCTGATGAATATTATTAGACTAGACGAGCTAGTAATAACCGAAGCTGATATCGTGTAATGGCGGTGCTACTCCTTGCGGTAGAGCATAATCTCTGGCAAGTTGATCGAGTATTCCGCCACTTTGACTGCGCGTTTGAGGTTGGCCGCGTTCCTGAACCGGAGCTGGGGCAAATTGAGCGGGGCCTTGGTTGTAAACCTGAGACGTCGGCGAGGGTTCGTCATAGGAATGTTGAAGCAAAGGTGATTGACGAGAAGGAATCGATGGGGAGAAAATTGGTGCTTTCGGTAAGGCTGGTTGTGAGGGTGCCTGTTGCGCTGGCGCATAGACAGCTTGGGTGTGTGATTGAGGTTGTGGTTGTGGTTGTGGTTGATATTGAGGTTGATATTGGGGTTGACGTGGAACAGCTTGTTGAGGTGCTGCTTGAGGTCTGGCAGCTTGTTGATAATCGTAATCCTGATAATTTTGTGCTTGGAGTCCATCCTTGCCTGTAGTTTCATCAACCAAGGTCGGTGGAGCCACTGTGATACCTTCGCCAGCTGGTTGGAAACCATACTGATTTGCACCGTATTCCACCACTCGGACCTTTCCAGTGTCATCGACGAATCCGTATTTTCCCTTCACTTCGCCACCAGGTAATTTCGTCTCGATCTTGAAAGATCCATCAGCACCTTCAAACCCATACGTGTATGAACCGTCTTCATTGTGCCTGTTGATTTGTTTCAAAATAGCAACTGGCGTTGGTTTTGGACTCTCCGGTGCTGCCGCTTGTTGTCTTGCTGGTGCCGAGTCTGAAGAGTAACTTCTTGGAGTTGGATGAGCTGGTCTGGGTGCTTGGTAATCGGCATAATCATCTATCTGTTGATACCGTTGCGCTGATACCGAAAGTATCAGGGTAACCACCGTTGCTACCTGGAAATATCAGATACATGTGTTAAGAGTATTGTATGTTACAGTTCTTAAGATTTAACTTATGAAATCGCATAGTTCAAAAAATAGGCCAGTTTATTGGTAGGTTAAAAATCAATCAACCCGAACAAGAATTTTGCTCAAACCTTAATCGTAATAATATATATATTGAATAACCCAAATTAAGAAACAAAATTCATCAAATTTTTCTCAACAAAATTTAAATACAAATAAAATGAACATACTCATGCACACGTAATCTATTAATAGTGGCATGTAACATACTTCCTGTAAGTTCCGCCCGAGTGAACGCACAAGTACGGTTATAATAATCTTAAACTAGTCTTTCATATTCCAACCACTTTCGCCGTTAAATTACGTATGATAATTCTTACATATTAAACTCCTACAATTCTTTATGCAAAAAAAAAAAAAAGAAAAACAAAAAAAAACCATAAAAACCTTCGATATTTTATATAATTCTTTAACGCGGAAAAAGTTGATCCAGTTAAACGAATTATTCGATTCTTGTGTAACCATAAGGAAGAAAGTTAAAATCAAATAAATTTAAACGGAACGTTAGAACACTTTTCAAGGACTCTTCCATAGCGGAAGTACTTAGATTCGTTCTCGTGTTTCACGACAATTTAGTTCCGTCTTCCATAACTTCTAACGTTTATTAAATCATTATAGAAACGGAACGTGATCACAGTGATTGAAACCAAATTAAAAATAATCCCTTTCACTGACTCGAAATTAAAAAATAAAAAATATAAATAAAATGATGATTTAAATTATTTGAACACTTTGATTATTTGTACACTGGTCACTGTATATTATATCTCACAAGGAAAAAATTTCACACGCGCAAATTTTGTTTCTACTCCCCTTCATTTTGTTGGTTGAATTTTTTTGGGGAGGAGGGTGATTCTTTCCCCGAGGTTATCGATCACAAAAGAAAGTAAATGATGCACGATTTTAGGAACGTATTATACGTACCGTCACTAAGGTGTACATTGTGTCTCCTGTTGTTTCGATTGTGTTAGTGTATGTGAATGTAAGTAGGCAGCGAGGCTAGAGTACCAGCGTTTGCTCGAACTGAGGCCCTCATATACCTTACTGGACCCCCCGTTCCTGCCCTCTCCTCTCTACCCTTCCTCATACTCTTGTTCCCTGCTCCGGGGGACTTTCACTATCTATTCGAGTTCTGTACGCTTGCCTTGTTGTCCTCTTACAGCACTCTTATATCCCCTAAATGATGTCTACCTTCCTTCTTTCCCCACCAATTTGTTGATACGCCCCTTCTCAACTTTCATACCACACACACAAAATTATATTAACCCAAAAATTCATTTATTTTAATCAATGCAAATAGTTTAGCAATATTATTATTATTATTATTTAAATCGTGTTAGTCGAATTATTTTTGACAGAGATCAATTTTTGAAATGTTGCTCTAAATTAAGATAATTTATTTTAATTAATACAATGATTTATTAATATTATTTTTATTATTATTTAAATCCTGTTGATCGAATTATTTTTTGCTAGTTGATGAGGTAATTTAAAAAACTTAACAAATTATTTTTAAATGTAATTAATTATAATTTATTTGATTTCCAAGATAAATAAACGTTTCCATAGAAAAACAAATATTTATGTATATATGTATATGTAAGTTTAAAAATGTATTGATTAATTTAGAACGGATTTGGAGGTTTCTTGGCTTCGAAACTCGACAAGAACGCGGACAAGAAGCCGTTGGACAACCAACATCGAGCTTCTGAGAGATAATATTATGTAAAAGTTGGAATATATATATATTGGGGTCAGTCAGTAAAGAGAAATTACAGGTGTACTTTTCGTTTCGTTTCAATGCTCCGATCGAAAAATCCCTTCCCTTCCCTTCCCTTCCCTTCCCTTTTTTTACCCCTCCCTCCCCGATATGTTTTTAATTCCTATCAAATATATTGATCAATTTAACTCGATCGATAGTAATGGTATTTAAAATGTATATGTTTAGTAACAGGCACGTTAATCGACCACAACGACAACTATAATGACGACGGGTCAAAATAGCCTGTTTTTTTTCTTTCTCTTTCTATCTTTCTTTAATCTTTCATTATGTCCTTTAGTATAAAATGATGCAAATATTTTTCTAAATCAACTCTCCTGATCAAGTCTTTTACGATCAAGTTATTACAATTTCTTATCATATTTTATTAAGAGTAACCTAATCTTTCTTTCCCCTCTCTCTCTTTCTTTTAGTATTGAGACAAAAATTAGGCTTGTTTAGTTGGAATGTTAGTTTACTGTATGAAATATCGTAGGTGTTTTACTTTCACCATAAACTGACCGTTTAATCGCCATGCAAATTCATCAATCTTTTTTTCTTATCGAAGTAAAGTTTGATAAACATTGCCTTGGGAAGGGAAATTGTTCATAGCTTCAAGGGTTTAATGTAAATTCACAACGTGAACGATCAAATTTTGTAAAAGCTTTCATTTTTCTTTTTATTTTTTGTTTTAGTTTAATCTTTATTGTTTTTGGTTTTGATCTTTATGTAATAACGATCGTATAACACAATGCAAGTTATATGGGGGACTAAACCAGATTCTAAACACATTTCATTCGATTTTACGCTTTGCTACGATGGAGAAAGCGTTAGGCAGAACAACAACTCAAAAAAGAAATTACTTACCATTAACTTTATGACAATCTCTATAGAAATCCATTAATTTTTATGCATATTCTTTTAATTATTTGTATTATTAATTAAATGCATATTTTTTACAATTCATATTTTATTTTATTTTATGTTTATTTCACAAGTATTAACGGTTTTTTATTTTGTTTTGTTTAAATTGAGCTGTAAAATAACTTGTGAAAATTCTTTCTATTGTTATTCAAATGATTTACAATAAGTTAACTTTCTTTCTTTGATACTCCCACTTAGAAATAACAGCTTTGTTTACGATCCCGTTCTTGCCTTTTCAACCGAGCAAATGTGCTTTCACGGCCGTGAGACTTGCGAAAAGCGTAAATGCAACACGGATGAAAAAAGTGGAGAAGGGTGAGAGAGAACAAGAGAAAAAAAGAGAAAAAAGATGAGAAGACAAGTCAAGTTCTCTCGAAACGAATCAACAAATTACTCAGTGACCTTCCATAAACATATTGATTTATATATATTATATATTATATAATATTAACTTTAAAACAGCACACACAATCATCGATTTATTTCATTTTTTAAGTTCTTACAGAATAATGTAAAAAAAAAAAATAAAATAAAAAAAAAAAGCTTTACCTTTTATTCACATAAGTTTCTTGTACAATTTATCTAAACTAGTAGTTTTTCCCTTTTTATCAATACATTGTTGCTTTCGTAATTGTTGCATAAAAATAGAAAGTCTTAGATTAGATTTATTTGTACGTTTTTAATTTAGAAACAAACGTAAATAGGAATTAACGAAAAATAAAAAATTAAAAAATACAATAGTTTACTTTTAACTATTTTTTGTTTCTTCTTTTATTATAATATAAGTTTAGTCTATAAGTTTCGAAATTATTTCCATAACTGTGTATTATTTTTCAGTTGTTTTTTTTTTTCTAATTTTATTCTTTATAAGTGCATTGTTGCTTTCATAATAACAATTGCATAAAAATAGAAAGTACATCATAGAAATGCCTTTTTCTCGCTCTAATTGTCAATTTATCGTAAATGGGGAAAAATATTTATAAAAATGAATGATAGAAAAAATAGCAAAGAAAAATCCTTTTTTTTTTTGTTTTCTCGACATTCGCACAAGTCTAACAAAAGTTATCATCACTTCCCCAACTTGGTTTTTTTTTCTATTAGTATAAGTATCGTTGTTACTTTCATGATTATTGCATAAAAATAGAAAGTAAGCTTAGTGTAACGTCGCGTCGTTGGCTGGAAAAAGAACACGCTCTAACATCTTCATATCGTCATCCTTGTCATAAACACTTCCTTTCTTTTTTATTTTATTTCAATTAAAGGAAGAAAATAAGAAGATAAACAAAAAATTAGTAGAATATTATGAACATAGTTATGCGTGAGTGTATTATGGCAATAAAGAAAAAGAGAAGCCATTCTCAGTTGAGATCTAAAGTCCTGTTTGAATCCTAGGTGTTGTTGCTTGAGGTATACCACGCCTTACATCAGAATGTCTCTCGAGAGTGAACGCGAAATCGAGAAATTGCGTGCGGTCATGGCAAAAGTCGGATAAGAGAACTCTACTCGTCGTTGTCGATTTCGTGACGCGTGCCTTTTTCATTCCTCCCACTCTTTAATCTCCTCCTTCTCATTCTCTTTTCTTCTCTTCATTCCTTTCATTAACGTATAATTATTATGGTGTAATATTAAGAATTCAAAATGAAAGAAGAAACGAGGACACAACAGGAAAGTGTGCTGGCATCAAATTTCTTTCGAGATTTAATTTTCAATTTCAAAATTTCAAAAAAATTCATTTTTAATTAATTAAACACTAGAATTGTGATAAGATGGATTTTACTAATTACCAGTTTTTATATTTCTTTATTTTAACAAATTTAATTAAAAAGTCATAATAATTATTCACGTATAGTATTGGCCACTGTAAGGTCCATGTTGGAGGATTAAAATTTGGTGAAAGGGGTGTTAATTAATTAATAAATAAAATAATAAATCAATTATTTAATTTTTAATAATAATAATTTATGTTGTATGAAATTAATTGGTGTAAAGATTCTAATCTTTTAACTAACGTCCGATGTTAAAAAGTAACTTCCGTGAATTTAATAGCATCTCTTGTATTTGAAGCGCCTCAGAGTATAAAATAACACTTTTACCTGGACATTATCGTGTCGCTTTTGAGAGCAAATCGAAAAAGCGAGGGCACGCGTTCGAGCATTGTGAAAGGTGAGCATGGACCGAGAGGGAACACGCATAACAAGCGTGTGAGTTCTCGTTCAGTATTACTCGGCCAACATACTCCATAAAGTTGTTTTTATTTTTTGCTTAAATTTGACCGACATTTGTGATACGCGTGAGAAAATTTATGTTTTTTATTTCTTTTTTTGTTTTTTTGTTTTTTTAGAAATGTACAACCTAAAAAAAAAAAATTCCTCATATTTTCAACCAAGTAGAAAAAATGTATACATTTACAATGTATGAATGAAATAATATTAAAAGCTAAGAATGTAAAGGATCGTTAAAATTGAAAAAGAAATGTCGGAGGTGCGTCTTCTATGTGTGTGCGCACAGGGTGGATGAAATTCCTGGGTGTGGTCGACGTACTCCTTTGACCTTCCTCACGGACGTAAAAATCTACTGGACGGCATTTAAAAGACGTAAGAATGTGTACTGGAGTCTCTTTTGTCCGCGCATACATAGACATTTACCCATAACGTATGCAAGTTTATTCAAGGTCGTTCTTTACACTGAAAACTTAAGTGCATTGTATCGTTAGAATCCTCTCTTAAAAAGATCTTGATTCTGATTCTAATTAAAAATTTTATTTAAATATATAATATAATAAATATATATAAATTATAATTTATATATTTATATATTAATAAAATTATTATATATAAGTAATTATAATTATAATATAAGTTAATATAATAATCTTATTTCGGAACGTTTAATTTATAAACAAATAAATATTAATTTCTGTGTTTTATTTGTATTTATAATTTTACTTAAGACGAATAATATTTTTTGTCTATGTTACAAAAAGCAGCCTTTATTCGCATTGCATTTACTATAATGCACATTGTATTGTAAACCTAAACTAAATTGTAAAAAAAAAAAAAACAAGACTATGAATTTTGGTTACGTAAATTACAAGAAAAGAAAAATATTTGATAGAGTTAAAAATTAAATTAACTTATGTACAAAGAAAAGAAGAAATATCGAGATTACATTCTATAGGATGTCATTTTGATTTGTTTCAAAAATCTTCTCCTATCGTTTGTAATTTATAGTATAAGATGCTGTGCCAGCATTGGAGACCACGTTAGGTTCCGGATGTCCCTGATATCCGGCTCGGTATGCCATCGGCGTATACAAGGATCTCCCTTGTCCCTGTTGTCCTTGATATTGCGGTTGATATTGTGGTCGATACGTGGCCTCGGATTGAAACGCCGACATTCGAGGTGCTATCGGTGGAGGATTACTAAAACGACCAGTATTCATTTATCAACTATGTCATATATACAAATATTTATTATTATTATTTCTGAAATGAGAAATTATCATTTTTCTCTATCTTCAAATTGAGTATTACAAAATTTAGGTTTAATGTTTCATTTTCAAAAAGTATTGTGTGTGTATTTTTAATTAGAAAATTAGAAAATTTCTTAATTTATAAGTACCTTAAAATGTGAAGATATATTTAATAATTAAAAATTCAATATATAATATAAAACTCCTAATAATAATAAATAAATAAAATGAAGCATCACTGAAATCAATTATCCAAATTATAATAAATAATTAATAAATTAGCTGAATGAAACAATAGTTACATAAACTATACTATAAAAGGATTAGACAATTCTATGGTTGTGCAAGTCACGATTGTTACATTCAAACGATTTGCCTGACATTTGAGTTAAATCGACTATCCAGTTACGTCCTCGATCACTATGCAAGATCCCTCAACTAACTCTTTCAATCAACCGTCTAAAAGCTTCTGTTCTTTTCAATTAAAAACAATCAAATATATTTGTCAAAATCTATAATACTTTAAAGAGATTATATATTCGAGCTAGTAGTTCAAGTCAGTTGTTAATCGGACAAACCAAACTCGAAACAAAACTACGATCATTTTCTACATTCATTTTTTAAATAATTTTTTATTCTTAAAATTAGAAATTTTATGGTATAATATAATAAAATATATTATTATATGTTATAATTATTAAAATTATTACAAATATGTTAAATTATTTATGTGATTATATTTCTTCATAAAGAGTTGTCATTATTATAATTATTATTATAATGATTTAACAAAAAAATGACTGACCTTGGTAAAGAAGAACGAGCATCGAAGGTTGGACGTCGTTGAAGATTATAGGGCTGAGATGGTGGCCTCGGTTCGTAACGTTCACCATTGGTATATCTTGGATCGGTGTAATAAACTGATGGGTCTTCACGATATTGACCATCGTCCTCGGGTCCGTTCGCAATACTATTGGATGAGGTCAAGGTCGGTGGTGGTACGTTGATTCCAGCTCCTGCTGGTTCGAATCCACGTCGAGATGCACCATATTCGATCTCTCGAACACTTCCAGTATCATCAACGAAACCATATTTCCCATAAACTTCACCGGTTGGATATTTTGATTCGATTTTGTACGAACCATCAGCCGCCTCGTAACCATAACTATAGCTACCATCTTCGTTGTGCCTAATTATCGAGAATACTTTTTTTTTTATTATTCATTTTTATTCATGTTAATAATAATAATAATTGTTTCTATGCCTCATTCAAAACTTTTCAATTTGTCCACGTGAAATTAAAAAACCAATTTAATTATATAAATGTGTATGACAGGACTGTATAGGAAAAATATTAATAAATAATTTTGGTTGAATTTGTTCATTATTTGTAAGATGTTCACTGTATCCTGTTTTTATTCTACTTTGATTGTTATACGTACTTGTTTATTTGCTTGAGAATTGGCACAGGAGTGGTCACCTGGTAAGGTCGGCTGTTGTACTGGCCGGCTACTAAGCTGACGCAAGAAAGAAGGAACGGCACCTGTCGGAATAACTTTTATTCAACTATCAGGACGTTTATTTGCAAATTATAAAAATTCAAAAAGAAAAAAGAAAATCAAAAAATAACATATCTTATATTGTAATTGCCAGTAAAAGATACTAGAAAATAATTTCAACGAAAAATTCCTTACTATCTCTATTATTTTGTACTTTTAATTAATAATCTGCAATGAGACGATTAAATGTTTTTTATTATCTTTTATTTATTGTCTTTTTTTGTAAGATTGGATTATGGACGGCGAGTAGTTGGAGTACTCACAGGAAGACGCATGTCTCGTAGCTGATGAGGCAGAAGTGATTGTGTTGTAGGATCGCTTAACACGCGAGCTCTCCGTTGCAGTACTTATATAGGTCCCCTTCGGGAGCGCCGGGGTCCGCCCATGGACCCCGAGCACCGCCTAAGACCTCAACACGATCCAACAACAAGAATATGTGCATCAGCCTTGCTTAACACATCTTTGGAAATTGTATCCTTCTATTGTTCGCTTCTAAATCGTATTATCTACTTTCTTTATATAAATTGTGACAACATGTTTTCTTTTTTTTCTTTTCTCTTAAATTGCTACGATTTAAAAAAAGTTTATTAAATATTATTAAACAATGTTCTTCTTTGTGCTTAAACTCAATTAGAACAAAATTTGAATGATCATTTTTCATTGATTTTGTTTGACGTAATATCGTCTTTTTTATACTTTTGAAATATTTGATTTTTATTTTATTATTGTTTTTACCAATTTTATGAGATAAATTACTCTCTCGGTAAGTTTTTTTTTTCAGATTCAAACGAGAGAACTTCTTGACATTTAAACATCGCTTGGTCTGCAGTAATAAGCGAGTTTGAGAATCGAGTTGCAACGTATAGTGTAAGTTCATTTTTCTACTCCTTTCTCGAACTATTTCTCGTGAGAAGCGATTTCATGATCGTTTTCGTATCCCTCGAAGCTGCAACAGGATTAAGAACAGCAACAGCAACAGCAACAGCAACAGCAACAGAAATAGCAATCTCGTTGAGACGATTAAACTCGAGTGCACTGTTATCGAAGACAATAGGCAAGTAGTATGCATAGTAGAGTTACTGCAAATCGAAGAGGACGTGAAAGTGACACAGGACGTTGCTCTGGAATTTCTACTAAGCTTTTTTATCATTCAACAAATTTCATTCTTGCTTACCTTACCTAGTCGATAGATCGATGATCAAAGATTTGAAAAAAAGGAAGAAGGAAAGAAAGATTAGAAAACAACGTGCGGTTTAAAATAAAACATTTCGATGGAAAAATGATAATAGGACAAAATATATGTCATATCTCTTGTTTAAGATATCACGTTGATTATTGTGTAATTCCGATCACGCAAATGAGAGTTATTTGATTTCCTACTTTCTAAGAAGTCGAGCACGTCGATCAACAACGATTTGGCACTACAGCCAAGTATCGATAGCTCTCGTTCCTTACGATCTTTGAATAAATATGATCTGATTTTAAACTCGATCGTTTAAATCGTTGATTCATATGTTTATGTGTTATCATTTGTATTGATTGATCTTTTATCATATAAGAAGAACGAAACTTGTTTTATTTATAACATAAAAATATGCGTTAAACTCGAGATAAGTTTACCAAAACAAACATAAGAAACAAAGATTGTAAATTTGATAGGTCAAACATATTATAAGGACATGAGTGTTTCGCAGTTCTGTTTGTAAAGTTGCTCGAGATACTTCATTGCAAAGCTTGGTACGTGTTGTTTCGATTTCTAATTATTAATTTAATTTTCATTTTATTTTTCATTATTGATATTGAATTACAAATTAGTAAAAAGAGGATATACTTACCAACTGTAAGTAAAAGGGAAGTGTTTCATTTCCTAAGATGGATAAGAAAGAAACCTACGATTATTGGTTAATGGTATGATAGGAATTGTGATTAAATATTCTTTTTTAAAATTATCTTTAGTAACAATAATTTAAAAATTATTAACCCATCGTCTACGATGTACTGCCATTTTAAAGAGATTATAATATTTAATTAATTATTATTTTTATTAAGGACACTTGCAAATCTGAGCATTTACAAATATTGTCACTGTCGATAATACGAAATGGCACTACTTTGAGTAAACATTTTTGCCACGAAAATAATTTCTAAATTAATGTTTAATTTTTAAATTACATTTTATCAAAGAATTACATTATTTTTACAAATCATCAGAATTATTTTTCAGTATTATTTCAAAAAAACAATAACAATATGAACTACAATGTAATTATTGGGAGTGAAAGAATAAAAACGTACAGTAAAGTCGATTAATTGAACGTATAATGGAAGAGTAATTATCGTTCAATACGATGTTGAATCATCCAACATTATCCTTTTAAAAAATAAATAAAAAAGAATAAGAAATATTTCATTCTTTTCGCACACACACACACACATACACATACAACATGCGAATACTACGAGGATACGAAGTATATACTTACGATGTCGTCATAATTTAAACAAAAGAATTAAGCGATATGCCAACTCGTACTAACGTTCCATTAAATATACTTTAAAAATAGCAATAACAATAAGAAGAACCGTTCCTTTTTTTTTTACAATCATTTCACATGAAGATGAGAAGGTACTGGTAATTGAAATATATTCCTTTAAATTTTTAACATCGTTCATTATTTTTATTCAATACATATATTGCAGTACTTTAAACATAGTGTTATAATTACTTTCATTTTCATTAAACATTTTCAACTTTCGATTTGATACTTATCGATAAAAATGATTTTACACCGAATGGTGGTGTACAGAAACGATTATTTGACTTTTATTTTATTATTTCTTTTATCAATAAGAACGGAGTACACGTAAATTGTAAATATAATGAATTTTTTTGATTTTAATGAGCAAATCGAAATAAATTCGAGTACTCGTGTGTATGTGTACATACATGAGGAATAATAAAATGGTGGCGGAGTGTGGGGTAGTTGGGTTGGATTTTATTCAAATTTTTTTACTATACCGTAGATCATAATATCGAAAGGCAATTATTGTTCGTCTTGTGGTATGTATCGAGATTGGTAATTAAGTTGCCCCTGCAATTGAATGAAGCTTGCACACATGTCTAGAACATAAATACGAGGCCTTACCCTTTACCTTTGTCCAATTGGTAACTTCCCAATAAATCAAAATCTCCACCTCTCCTTTCCTACCTTTTTAATGGGCACAACGCGAAACGATATAAAACTACCAATTAGCGATTCTTAGTTGGGTGACCGAAAAAAATCCTTATTATCGACGACATATCACAAATTAAACGAATAAAAGCAGCTCGTTCTTTTTTTTTTCTTTTGCTCTGTTAATTTCTTTCTTTTTTTTTTTTTTTTTATACTCTCGCAGTCAATCGAATGTTGAAGAAAAAAAAAAGAAAATTCTACTATATCGCTTGGTAAATAACTAAAACTTATTCGTTAATTATACTTTACGTTTGAATCACACGCAAAGGATCAATTTTTTATATATGTAAAAGGATAAATTGACGCATCGTTTGAAAATATAATATATATATAGTATATTTAAATATAAAAAGTACGTATAATAATTTTTGATTCTTTTCGTTTCCAATTGATTAACAATATTTTTAATCATTATTATTATTTTTTGTTTATTTATCAATGTCCAATAATACAGAGATCAATGTATCAGTTTGTTTATAATAATCAACAAAACATAAAAATTCTATTAAATTTTGCAATAAGAGTGAGATTTCAAAGATTAGCAAAATAAGATTGGTAGAAAATATGAAAAGAAATGTGCAAAATCAGTGTTACGTTTTTAATGGACGACTGTTGGTAACGAAATAGTTTTATTTTTCTCATTTTGTGTCTCGAGTATGTAAAATGGTCAAGTTTCAAGTCGTTGAATATTCACGAACCACCCACTTACCTTTGGTACGATTCGAATCTCACGCGCCTTACTTCGAACTTCTTTTCTTCATCCCCCTTTCCTCTACCCTCTTCTACCACACCATCCTCCTTCTCATCTTCCTTCTCATCCTCCCTCTCTTCCACTTCATTTTTCAGGATCGATTTTCTTTTTCTTTTTATATTGTTTTGCTTTCGTGGAACTTCACATCTTTTATTTTAACAAGTTTAAATTATCTGAAATGTTTATTACGAACGTTACTTTTACAAATCTGTGTATATACATACATAGTTGTGCATTTATATTTTGTGTGTATCTCTGTGTGTGTATTAAGCGTTAAGAACAAGATTTCATCGATTTGATAAGATCATCGAAAATAAAGTAAAATGTTTGTTATTTCGTTTAATATTTATATACATATTTTTATACATATATATATGTATTTTTGATGAAATAAATTCGATGATTTTTCATCGAGACGGCGGGCTTGTTTATTCATAGAATTTATCTTCGTGCCATTTCATTTTGAATTCAAGTTTTCGAATTTTTGTTAATATTTTTATTTTCGTAATGAATTTAGCGCAAGAAATTGAATTTGCAAATCGGCGAACGGTTTTTGCAAAACCAATGAACACAAAAACGAGAAAGAAATTGTTTGTTATCGATGTTGTGGATATAAGATGTTTCCTATCTGAATATACATACAAAAACGATAAATTTCGAGACATCATCAAACGGGATAACGAATGTACGTGTTACAAGATTCCGGCAGGACTATTAATTATGCTCGTCTTAATTCCGATTGCGAGCAATTCGTTACGTGATATATTAACGATTGGATTTATCGATGTTCACCATTCACGAATTTACACTTATCAGTTTGTGAAATATTTTTTCTATAATAATCGTTTAAATCAAATATATTTATGTATATATACAGAAAAATTTGAATGGAATTTAAAATAAACTGATTTATCGGATATAGGATATTTATAGTCTCATTTTAATTTATTTGTTTATATAATAATATAATTAATCTTTGCTTTTATAAATTTCTTTTTAATGATCATCATAGATAAATAATTAAAAATTAAATTAATAAGATTCGCTTGATAGATTATTCCATAAATTAAATTTATGTACACATTAAGCTTAAATTATCCCCATTTTGTAAAATTTACTGACCGTACCTGAATATAATTTCATTACTGAATGATTTTAGCGAGCAAGTATATAAGTAAGACGTGTATATACATATACATTAAAAACCCGTTATATTATACATATATATTTAGGGAATCTCAAGTCAAATCAACTACTTTTGACCCATGACTTTTTTTTTTTTTTTTTTAATACTTTTTTTTATCATTTTTACTCGACTTTTTC